AATGGTGGCAAGAAGTGCAGTGCACTGCACTGTGCTCACATGAGACTTCCCAAAGGACATGTAATGAAAAGTAAAACACCTGACAGGATTAGAGCTGCTTCCCTATAAAAACCAGGTGATCTCACTGTACTAGATTTTTACAAAAAAAAAACCCCAATGCACTGTTATGGAGGGCAGGCAGGGAGGTGCTAAGTTAAAGAGAAAGAAAACAAATAGCAGAAAGAGGAAGTAGATGAACAGGAGGACTGGGAGGAAAAAAATATGAGGAAGTTAAGAAGGAACCAAAAGCGAAAGTGGAGGAAGAACAAACAGAAGGCAAAAGAAAAACAGAAGGAACAGGCAGAATAAGCAAACCAGGAGACATAGGAGGAGGAAGATGAAAACGGGATGGGGAATGACAAGAAAAGAGGGGGAGGAGGAACAACAGAACAAAAAAAAGGAGTAAGTTGAGAAAGAGAGATTAGTGGCAGTGATTAGTGACATACTAATCACTGGAATCACAGTATTTTTTTCCAAAAGTGGGAGTTGCTTTTACTTCAAGTAAAAGTTAAATATTCCTTTTCAAGTCCTTGACCAAACACTAAGTCAAACTCTGTACTTTCTTAGCACCCTATTTATCTGGAGGCACCAAAGGACCCACTGCAGAAATCAGCAATATGCTGTTCCTTAGGAAAGCAAACAGTAAAAATCACTGATAAGCTGCATATAAAACTTTCTCAAACTTTTCTAAAAATGAAAAACATTGTTATAAAAAAAGTATGAAGTGTTAAGTAATTTTAACCTATATTTTTCATTTATTGACTTTGTTTTTCTTGCTTGATTATAATCATATCTATAATACAGCAGGCTCTATTTGAGTTCTTTAGACAACTGCTATCAAAACCAAAATGTAATCACCTCCAGGAAACACTGAGGATCACACTCATGGACAAGCTTTTCACAATCCTTCAAAAAATTCTCAATGGTCTTCTTGTGAGTTTCTTTCATTTTCTTCCAAATCTGAAATTCTTTCTCTTTTTTACCTCTTTGATCTTCTAGTAATTGCTGTTTTTTTGCTTCCAGAGTTTTGAAAATTTCTCCAAATTTCAGCTCAATTATCTCCACATCATTTTTCAGCATCATCTAGAAGCATGAGAAACAAGACCAGATGTAAATGCAATAGCAATGTCCAAACAGAGTCACTCAGAGCACATCTATGCCACAAGGAGCACCTGTATGCTCCAGGCTGTAAATAAACTATCACTGGAAGAGACTCAAAGACATACACACAGAATATCCAGCATTTGTAACTCACATCTGCATCATTCGGTCGTTTTGAGATCTCATTCACCAGCTTCTCATTTATTATCCTCATTTGTTTCAGAGTGCTAAAGAAAGTTAACTGCAAAACAATTGAAACACTTAATTACAACCTTATCTATTCAATAAAATAAATACATTACAGTGCTTATCTAGAATCAGTTCAAGACAAACAAGAAGCTATTGGAGAGGGTTCAGTGGATGACCACAAGGATGATCAGGGGTCTGGAGCATTTCTTTTACGAAAAGAGACTGCAGGAGCTGGGCCTGGTTAGTCTGGAGATTATTTTAAGGAGATCTCATTGACATATATAAATATCTCAAAAGCAGGTGCCAAAAGGAGGGTGCCAGATCCTTTTCAGTGGTGCCCGCTGAAAAGACAGGAACAGTGGCCATAAACTAAACCACAAGAAGTTTCACCTCAACATGAGGAAGAACTGTTTCACATTGAGGGTGGAAGACCACTGCAACAGGCTGCCTAAGGAGGCTGTGGAGTCTCCCTCTCCGGAGACATTCGAACCCCACCTGGTCACAATTCTGTGTCACCTGCTCCAGGTGACCCTGCCGTGGCAGGAGTCTGGACTGGATGATTTCCAGAGGTTTCTTCCAACCCTATCAATTCTGTGATATTCTGAACAGTATAGTAAAAAAAGCCTGTGATTCAAAACATCACTTAATGCTTTCCTGGATCAATACACAAACTTTCTTCTGCTGTTTTTCAAAGTAATGTTCTCAGGCTCACCTACAATGCATACTGACAGAATGACTACTTTATAGTTAAAACATTGCTTTCCTCAGGCTTTTTTAACCCCTCCCCTCACAAACATCTATCACAATAGAAGTTTTAATGGTGTTATTCCAGTTTGGCAAAAAGCTGTGTGATACTCACTTTTTCTTTTTATGCCTCACATTGCTAAAACAGAAAGCTGTTCATAAGCAAAATATTTCAGTTTGAGTTTAAACTAATATTATCACTGAGTCTTCCTCCTTTATTTCTCTACACTATCACTACTTTACATTATGTAGTAGTATGTCTAGTGCAAAGGCTGTTTTCCCCTGGTTTCCCAAGTGACATACAATTGGTGATGGGAAAGACAGGAGGAAAACCGGTGTAAAAGCAACTTTTGTCTTAAAGAATAGTCAGTGCTGGACTTAAACTTTTATACTTGTACTTTTCATCACTGCCCTGCAGTTTTAATTACTGCACAACAGAACTGCCACCCTGCATCTCAACTTGCACAGGGCATGAAAAGCTCATTCTAACCGATTGTTCTTATTTTGTAAAAAATCACAACTTCTATAACCAGGCAACCAACCACTATGGCAGGCAGCTGCCTTCCTATGCAGACTGTAAAGCATCTTGCTTATACATTTATTATTACACACCCAAACTATATATCCCTAAATATGTAATTATCTGTGACCCAAATTACCTATCGCAGCTAGAGAGCCTATAAACAAAACATCTCTGGGTGGTTTTTTGGAGTTGTTAGATCTTCCTGAACTTGGAGAAACAACAATAACAAAACCAAACATCAACACTCCTCAGCCCCCCGAATCAAACAAAAAAACCCCAACCCGACAGCACTCCAAAATAACTCTCCGGGTCCTTCAGTAAATTGGGTTCAGACCTGTCGCTACTGCAATACCGCCTGGTCCGTGGGTGGGTTGGATGCAGTGTGACGGCAGCCCGGAAAGGCACAACCCGGAACCGGGCAGGCCACCAGCAACCAACCCCTTACTGCCCCTAAGCAGCACAGGCGCTCTGCCTCTCTCCTGCCCCATGCCAAGGTTTTTCCGGCGTTTCCGAATAAAAACAAACAATCTCCAGTGGGCAGCCCAACCTCCCAGCCAGGCCCCCAGAGCGGAGGGAGAACGCCGCGCTTACTTTTTCTTCCTGGTACACCGTGTCTATGAGGTTGACGGAGTGGAAGATGCCCTGATGCTCCTCGGAGACGCACTGCCCGCACCCCGCCTGCCGGCACATGCGGCAGTAGAGCTGCACCGTCCGGCTCGGATGTTTCTGGCAGCTTCCCCCGAACGCCTGCAGGGAGAGCAGGTCGGGCCCCGGCTTCGGCCCCAGCGCCGCCTCCCCGGCCGTGGCGGCGCCCGCCGCGCCGGACCGGTAGAGCTTGACCACCTCCGCCAGGGTGGTGTTGACGGGCAGGGCGGCCACGCCGCCGCGGGGCAGCAGGCACAGCTTCCGGCACAGCGGACACGGCACCCGGGCGCAGGACGGGCCCGGGCCCGGCCCCGGCGCCCCGCGGCCGAGACGGGCCTGCCCCGGGCTCCGCTGCAGCTGCTGCAGGCGGGCGGCCTCGGCCGAGGCCATGCACTCCAGCACGCAGCCCCGGCAGAAGTTGTGTGAGCACAGCGGCAGCGTCACCGGCTCCTCCAACAGCGACAGGCACACGGCGCACGTCAGGCTCGCCTCCATCGGCGGCGGAGAGGGGTCGAGCGGCCGCCGCCGCTCCTGCTGCTGCTGTTCCGGGTTCCGCTCGTACCACTGCCCCTCCACTTCCAGCTGGAACGGCACCGGGGGGCTGCGGCCGGGCTGCCACAGAGCCCGGGAGCGCCGCGCTCCAAACGCTGCTTCCTGCCGTCAACTTCCCGAGAAGTGGCGCCCGGCCGCGGGGGGCGGGGCCCGGACAGAGGGGTTGGTGATAGGTGAAGGCGCGAGATTGACATCGCCTTTCTCCAATAAAAGCAGGGGAGGTCAAGGGGGCGGGACAGAGGGTTTTGGGACTCGCCTCCTGCCTGGCGCGCGATGCGGTGGCCTGCGCGGGGTCCTAGCGCCGCCGCCGCCGCCGCCATTTTGCGAGGGGCTGTGGGCGGAACTCCCGCCTCACGTGCTGGGAGGGGAGCTCGGGAGGCGCTGGGAGCGCTGCGCGTTTGCAGTCCCGGGAAGCATCCTTGTTCTTTTCTGCCAACCTGCAGGGTTAAAACCAAGTGACTCCGCAGTGCCGAGTACGGCTGTTGGGAGCTACCTCCAGCTGCGCTTGCAAAGTCAGAACATAATTTCGGTTTGGAGTGATGTTAGTGCTGAGCAACTGGGATAGTGTTCAGCTTATTTTCCCCGTCCCCCGCCACCTTTTTTGTTTTGTTTACTTTCACTGCCAGCGCCGTTCGCCCCAAAGTTCTGGCTTAGCAATTTTATTATCCTCCCGAAGTGTTTGGAAATGAGTCAAACTCAAGAGAGATTGGAAAGAAATTTCAAATTTATTATAAATCAACATATCTGTAGCACGATGTCAGTATTTGCAATGAAGCCAGATGTGCTGTAATTACTGTTATTTCCAGAGGCTGGTGTGACTCCCAGAGGGAAGCCACAGGCGCAAAGGGCACAAAAGCAGGCAGGCATTCGTGCCTTTCTGTAGCAGTGCTTTATTCACTCACACGGACTGCACTGCAGAAGTTTTATCCTACTGTAAGAACATCCCTGGGCCTGTGTCCCGTTGGACACCTTGTGGCGGCGGAGAAAAGCGGCGGGCAGGTATTTTAGCGAACACTACCGCACTTGTGTTTCCCGAAGAGGCTGACAGGGGGTATGTATGGATGCATGCCCTGAGCAGCCCCGGTGTCTCCCGCTGCTGTGTCACTTCGTGCCCGGGAGCGCCGCGCCTTCAGCCGCGCTCGCAGGGTAATGTCACCCACAGCTCCTGGTTTGTGCCACCTAGAGCATTCCGGATATACCTCCGTGCTCTGAAGGTCAGTATTCCATGGATGTTTAAAATGAGATGGGTAAAAATGGAATTCAGAGTTTCATCCTCTGGAACTTCTCTGCGTCGAGTTAAGCAGTGCTTCATCTTCCAGGTTTTCCAGTGAATGGAGTGCTTGATTCTAATTTTTACTTTTGTTTCAAGCAGAATAGGGGAAAGGCCATTAAGTATGTAATCTAAGTAAAGGAGAATACAAAAGCACTCTGACAGTGATAACAGATGGGGGCAGACGTTTAGTGTGGTTGTAATTAAAACAGTAATGTTCAAGAGCATAAAATATGAGATATAAGAAGTAGGAAAGGCAAGAAAAAATTTCCTTAAAGGAGGAAATCTTCTTGCTAAAAGTAAATAAAGAATATTTTCTTTTCTCTAGTGTGAAAGTGAATAAATCCTTCCAGAGCCTGTTGATGAATGTTTGGGGTGTTGTGACACTACATGATAAACAAATGCCTGCGTGGAGTCATTTTACCACTTGCTCCATTAATTTACATTAATCATAAAATCAGAAATATTAATTTGAACTAGGGATGAAACCACGTTCCTGCCAACATTTTTCCTGTGTCAAGAAAGATTTAATATTAGCAAATATACATTATTGATTTTGCTTTTTTGTTATGTAAAATAGAGATCTCTTACAGTTAGTGCATTTCATATAGCTTCAATAATTTCTATTTAAAATACGTTTTCACAGCTTTCAGAGTACATCTTCTTAGTAATCTTCTGTATCACCAGCACAGATAGCAAGTAAAGCACTCTCATAATGCCCTGAAGCAAAATGCTGCAAGGAAAAACAAAATCAACATTTCTTTGACTATACATTTTCTGAATTTTTCTTTTTTTTGGTGTGTGACAAGGACTAGACTACTGTAAGGTTTTGTAAAACATTGCATTGTTTTCATAAGGATTCTAGGCTGAGGTTTTTATGTTAATTTCACTTGTTATGGCCTTTGGTTGCTTGGGCACCTAGAAACTAACTTTGAAAGGCTGGATCAAATCTGTTTAATAGTTCTCAAGTTCAATACCAAAAATTCATGTCCAATTTCCTGAAGTTGCTGCACATCTTGCAGTTTGATTATAGTGACATAAAAAAGGTAGTGTCTTAGCAAGAGACATTTTTCTGTACAATTAAACAGATTCAAAGTTTTGTTTGAAGATACAGACCAGGAGTACAAGAGGAGCAGAGTTTGTGAAGGTACTACCTAAGCACAAGGATAAAACCATGTATTTACTCCAGTTTTGCACAAAGTGGTACCAGCCTAGCCTTACAGATCAACATGAGATAAGATGTTCTCAATTAGTGGAGAAACCATTCATACAAACTCTTGTTCAGCACACGCTGTCATGCCCTGTTTATAAACACATCTTGCATTGGGGAGGTATAAAATCACAGAGAGTGAGTTGAGAATTAATTTCTCATTCAAATCAAACTGAGGCACTGAAAATGTGCTATTGTTTTTACACCTTGCTTTTTTGTTTGCTTTGTTTTAAACCAAATGGTTAAACAGAGTGGTACAGTCTATGTGGTACCAGTGCTGAATATATGCAGAAGTTTGTGAAAACTTACTTTAATGTCATGGAAGAGTGATTTCCCATATCTCTCTTTGTATCGCTGCCGTATGTTCATCAGGTCTATCTCACTCCTGGCAATGAGAATCCTAATAACTGTTTTATTGTGAAACCCAAAGTCCTAAAATGAAAAAAGAAAACAAGAGGAAACTTGATATTTACATAATATATTTGCCCATCTGTGTATGTTCATATAAATGTTTAATAGATAAAGAAAAGATATACCCATATAGGATATATAAGTATATAGCATATAAAAGGTATACCCATAAAGGTATCCTAGATGTTAAAGGAGTCTAAGGGTTTTATTCTACTGAGTTACCATGTACTCAAATGATAGAATACGTTTAACTGAATAACAGAGGGTCCCTATATGCCAGTGATTTATCCATGCACTGAAACTTTTAAAGAAGGAAAATTTGACAAACTTTTTTCAATATTCCTAAGAATTCAATTTGTGAGTAGCAATTGTGACTGTTGTTATGGAGTCCATTCAAACTATAATGAAGCCAGTATCTATTTCACAAAAACTGCTGCCTCATATGAATTCTGTGAGATTTTTGACCATAGCTTTAGAATTTACATAGCTTTTGTTCAGATGTGTTTTATTTTAACTGTTTCTAAATAAATGTTCATAATTCTGTGAAGAATGGGGACATCTAGTGGCAATAAAAAGTCAAATGAAGTTAGCACTTACACAAAGAATAAAAGAATCTGCATGAAGTTCTGCAAAAAAATAGAAGCATTTTTCTTCATGTAACATTAATTTATTATTTAAGTTTTAGCCATACCTATTAAATATTTGCAGACAAAAAATTATGTAGTAAAAATAATGCATATTGAGTTCTGCACAGCAGGGGGAGTTTCCATGCATAAAAAAAAATCTTCAATTAAAAAAAATTGACAGTTACCGGACAGATAATTTTTAAAGTATCTAAATACTTAAACTTTTACTTCTACTACTTAGTTGCTTAGGCACTAGTGCTTTGAAATTTATGTAGGTACCAACAGTTTTAAAACACATGGTCACACCTTAAATATTGAAGACACAGATTTGTAAGTACTTGTTTTAGAATAATAAAACAAACAAAGAAACAAAAAAAATAGGGAAGCATATTTTTATGAAATGTGAAGTAGAATGACTACTTACATGAATTGCATTATAAAGCCTGTAAGCAAAGTAGGAAGGCTTGTCACGAATGCAGAGAACTAGGAGGGAAGAATTGTAACAGGTAAACAGAAGATTATTATAAAATAATTTCTTTAGGGCTTGAGCTCCTTGAAATAAAAAGCTGGGTAGTGCTGTCCATGTCTCAGGTTAAAATTAAGCTACCAATATTTTACTAATACAACTATATTTATAATTTTGAAAGTTTGGTGGTGGTTTGCTGTTACATCAAAAGGCCTATTAAATATCAGTGAATACATTCACATGTCCTATTTGTAGAAATATTTTTATCCTTACTTTGTAAAAGAAAGATAAATGTACATAAACCTTGAAACTTATTTATATACTACCAAAGTCCTGAAAACATAGCTGGTTATTTAATATGTAAAATCAGTTGGAAATGCAGTTGTCACACAAAATTTATTATCAAATAAAGTAGATACTAGTTCTGATCAGGCAGAAGCTAGTGCTGCATAGATATATTTTTAGATTTACACTAACAGGAGAAAGTAATTAAAATATTTTTTCTAATTATCTCAGAAAATTTTATTGCACAATATAGGAGATTAAAGTGGATAAAGTATCAGAAAAATAGTATCCTTGATGTACAAGAGATGATATACTAGAATTTATTACAAGATTGCTGCTAGTAAAAATAATATTTTTACATTACCTATTGCAACCAGTAATTCTTGAAAGTATCCATCATAACATTCATTAATGGCATCTACTATGTCTTGCCCAGAGATATTTTGGAACTCCTGGAAAACTTGGGGGGAGGGGTGGAAAAAAAAATGTTGTTTTATTCTAGTTCATTAATAATGGTCAACTTGCTTTTTATGTTTTTTATTCCTTGCTTCTCCCCAGTACTATAACTATTGAGTTTATTTTTTAACCTTATTATTCTCAGTGTTTCAAAGTGCCCAGTCAGGCAACCTAAATGATTTAGCCTGAACCTGGCTTCTAGGACATTTTCCCCTGGGCTCTTCAGCCTACAGTATAAAATGAATGCATGCCACATATCTAGCAACATCTGTTTGTGACACTTGGAACAATGTCCTGCTGGTAAGACAACTTCCTTGCTTGGCTTGGCTGAAACTGGCAAGACTGCTGGGTTGTGGCAAGGAGCCAGGACTCACATGACGCACACACTCGCTGCAAGGTGCAGATACGCAGACACCCAAATATCCAGGGTGTGCTTTCTCCATTACGGAAGGAGGAACATTCTTTTTCTGCTGACTACAAAACTTACGGAGGACTACAGTACAGGCAGGGCCCTCACACCTCAGGAAGAGAGCAGAACACAGAGCAGGTGTGTTAATCCTGTCATCATCAGCTGAATGGATTTGTTGATCCATGATAGCAAAGTAGTTCTAAGCTACTGTTGGAAGCTGACGTAAGAAATACAGCTGGCTGCACAGTGATAAACTTGTCAGCAGACAGACTGTTTTTCTACTGCAGAGCAGAAACTCAAACTTGCCACCAGGTGAAATAGGTTTATTTTCTACAATGGAAGATTTGGATAAGCTCACATAAATTTCCTGCAATCTGTAGCTCTGTCTGATTTTCTATTTTAAGTAAAAATGGCCCTTGTGTTTCTGTGTTTATGTTCATTACTGGAAGACAGGTGTGAACACTGAAGTCCTCCCATAAAAACTTCTATGAAACTTCTGAGGAAAAGCTTCAACAAAGTAATGTGTTTTCACATGCAAGCATTTGCTGAAAATATTCCATCCAGCTGTCCCTAGATGTTTTCCCTCATAAGAGTTGCTTAGGAAAAATGAATAGAATAGTTAAAAAAAATGTCCCCCATCCTGTTGTGTCATGTGTAGACTCAGTGCAGGTGTAACATTTGCCTTTCTTTGGTCATACGTTCTTCTCTGGGTTATTAGGCATCCTGATGCCTGTCTGTTCTGTCTACAGCTGTCAGTAGTCATCGGGCAAAGTTCAGTTTTGCATTACTTCCAAATTCCCATTCACATCAGTGCAAGTCTGAGAGCTCCAACAGTTTGCACTTGGTTTCAGGCTGATGACCTGCTGCACACTGGCTGTCTTGGTATGCAAAGCATGGCTTTCTTAGCGAGTCACATTTTTACTTTACACTCTGTATTCAAACAGCTGAACTGCTGGATTACCCATCCACAACTGCTGCTGACTCCTGTTGCAGAGAATCATTTGCAGCATGTTTTTGTGTTCGCCTGTCTTCTGCTGACATGCTTCCCATAGAATCTAATATATCAGAAAAAACGAAAAAAAAAGAGCAAAATATTTAAAGTAAGTCCTTCGTCACTTTCCAACATTTCTTTTCTGTTTTTTTTTAAATGTTTGAGAACTTCACATCTGAGCATATATACCATTGCATCCTGAGCAGCTGTAGAAGGGTCTGCATATCCTTCCATCCTTGTTCCCTGAGGGAAAAAAGAGATACATATTCTTCAAAAGTTAGATCCTAAACCACTATAGGAATATAAAGTTTTCTGTATATGAAGCTGTGTTGGATTTCTTGAGGTAACAAATATAGGCCTTTAGGTTGGATCAGTATATTGCGTGGTTGAATTTGAAAACGTGGAAAATATCTTCAAGTTGTCACATTATGTCTTAATTTTCTTTAATAAGAGGAATTCTGGAATTAAAAACAGTCTTGTGTGAATAAAAAGTGGGGGAAGTAGATAAACCTATCCCATTTTTAGTCATATTTTAAATAACCTTTTACCCGACCGACACAATCCCACCACCATTTTCAGAATTATTGATGTTATATTGTTTACTCTAATATATAACTCTGAGGGAAAAACAAGGATAAGAGTAACATTTGCCATTCACTGATTAGTTCTTATCAATATTCGTATTACCAGAAAAATCTTTTCTCAATGTATTTTTTTTCCTGCGCAAACCGTAGGAGCAAGCTCATCAAATAATAGAGATTTTGCTTGCTCATAATCATTGTCTAAAATTAAGATCCAGGGTTAGGAAATGGTTTGACAACTTTGATACACAAACCCCAAAAGAATAGTTCCATTTTTTACCCATACATTTAATAGCTTTTCAGTTACACAAACCAAGCTAAATTCTTTAGTAAAGAGACTATGTTCTGAATTATATAGTCAGAAAAAGAGAAGAGCACGCTACTTTTGGAATTACTTTTATAACCATAGTCATCTTGTAAGGATACAAATCAGCCTTTTTTGTAGAACTCTTAAGAATCTGAAGCTCATGTATTTACTGCAGTAATAATATGTGCTTGAAGCAATTTTGTTTAAAATTTACAGTCATGTTACCTTATATATGAAGGGAAGGATTAAAATTAGGTATTGGCTGTCAGCTTGTAGAATGACTTATTTCTAGTTCTTTTTTGTTAAAAATGCTAATTTACATGTTAATTAAATGGTGATAATTTCACTCAGTGAAATTTCTAGTAGTAGGATAAATTATCTGAAATGAGTTGTGATGGAATGGCTACATAAAATTACATACACAAGAAAACAAGGGAATAAAGAGAGGGCAGTTACAATAAAATAACTGTAATAATACTCTACATGAGTCAAGTGTCCATTTTCTCCAGTAATATTTGTATAATAAACGTAGGATAAATTATCTGAAATGAGTTGTGATGGAATGGCTACATAAAATTACATACACAAGAAAACAAGGGAATAAAGAGAGGGCAGTTACAATAAAATAACTGTAATAATACTCGTGTCCATTTTCTCCAGTAATATTTGTATTCTAATCTGCCTCACATTGGACATGAAAACCATAAATACAATATTATAGCAATTGAATAGTTTGCTGTGCATATGTGGAGCATGTTTCAGTTTTCTCTCAGTAGTCTGATTTAATAGAAATCAAAGCAGAGGTTTTCTGCAAAAAAGCATTAAAGGATGCACTGGAAATGTTGCATGGTTATAGAACTAGAAAGGGTATGTTTTAATGAAATATCACTGAGTTTTAATATAAGATGATATGCAAGCATGAGTGATTTGACTAAAAATCTTCAGAAGTTCAGTATAACTGAGTCAAGTTGAAATTTCCTGCAACTCTTCCTTATCTTGAGTGAAATAGCAGATTTTCTTAGCCATGAAATTGCTGATTTTAGGCTTCTTTATCTATACCTGCTGGGGTTTAAGAAAATTAGGTCTAGTAATGTATAATCAGAGATTACTTTAAATTTGGTTCATTTGATGGGTAAAATATGTCCCATGGTTTTAATAATTATGAGAAGTGAGGTTGCTTAAGTGAGGTTGCTCTTCATTTTTAAGCAAGGAAAAAATTTCATTATTAGGGAAAAAATCCAGCATGAGAAAAAAATATTTTCTGTTTATAGCTTCTGCTTTTGAAATTTCTGTCTTTTTAACTTCAGTGAAGCCTACTGTTATTTCAAATTTGTGTAAGACGTTTTTCCCTAGACGTGCATGTATTTAAAAGTACAGATACACCTCATGTATGCTGTTATCCCATGGCAGTCCTTTATTATTTGTTACTCTGGTTTGCAGAAGATTTTAAAGATAATGAGCACAGTAACTGCAATGAGAATGACAAGGATGACCACTCTGCTGTATAAACTACGGACTGGTAAAACTGCAAAAGTTGGTACGTGTAAGTGATACTTTCTTTGCTTCTATGCTAGCATTTTGTGATTTAACATATGCAGTAGCACAAAGAGCATTATATTTTAAGCAGTGAATTCTTTGATTCTTTATTTCTTAGTCAAATGTGAATATATCTCTATTTTCACATAATGTTTGACTTGTTTATCATGTATTCTGATAATGGAGAAAACATACACTTTTAAGAATTACAATCACATTTGTACATGCAAGTAGTCTCATTTTGAGATGAGACAGATGGAGCAAAGGGTCAGCAGATGCCAGTAGGAATTTATAGAATAATCTGTTTACCTTTGCTTTTATCTGATATCCAAAGTCTAAGTCAGAGTAGATTAAGGAATTCAGTTTCTCTTCTTCATCAGCTTCCCTCCTGTTTTTCTGTTTTGAAAGTGCAGCCCTGTTGAACTAGCTTTAATCACAGTCACCTTAAAATGTAAAACTTATCAAATGCTATTGAAAGTCATTATGAATCTTTTAGAAATGTAAGTCATGGTTCTTGTTTTTGCAGTACCTGAGCAAGGTTCATGAGTGTATCTCTGAAGTGACCTGAAGTCGCAGAATCGATATCTTGTTGAAGATCAGTATTATATTCTAGGTTAAACCAAAAACATGTAATCTTAAATCACAAATGAACATGCTCTGAAATGGTCAAATTAAGATTATCAATCAGAGGATAAATAGGCTTACTCTATTCAAGTGTAACCTGGGCAGGTTCTACAAGGACCTGGCTCTGGGGCTGGCACATCCATCTGGCCCTGCTGGGGGCCCTCAACCACTGTCCCCACTGGCCTGCCCACCTATCATTTTGCTTCAGCCTTTTGTGTGTAGGTAGGGGAGAAGATGTGGAAAGGGAACTAGTCTGTGCTGGTCAGTTCTGTATTTTTGTGGTTCTGTTCCTTTGTGTGTGCTAATACCTCCAGAACAGACATAGTACAGCTGCTACTCTGCACTTGGTAAAAAAGCTTACGCATTAGGTAGGCTTCTTTCATCTGGAAGATCTCCATATTTGATCTTGAGGCTAATATGTCAATTAGGCATTTTTCTTCTGTGTCTATTCCCTGTACAGAAAGAAATAAATATGAAAAGATGTTGTGTAGTAGAAACCCCAGTTTTTAAAAGAAAGCAATGCTGTCCTTATCAGAAATAATGAAATAATAGCAGTTTCTGTACTTTTGTATAATCTACCTGTTCAAATTACTTTAATATATTTAAAATATATTTCTAAATCTGAATTTCAGCATGTACCTTAGCAAGTGGGAAATTAAGCAAGACTAATGTTGATAGAAACATAATGGGAATAATTTTAGAACTTTAGTAAGAATTATTGTTTGCTGAAAGAAATCAGATACAAAGATTGAGCATACATCCCTAGCAAGTGTTTAGGAAATCTGAGGTAGACATGAGTATAGGTATTATGTTGGTCTTCACTCTTCTTATCATCTTCTTTTTTTAAAAAAATTATTTAGGAATGCTGTAGTCTGTAATATCTAGCAGAGAATTTGGTATTAAAGGAAAGCATTGTGGAGTACATGCAGTGCTGCAAATAATTTTCCCACAGGGCTTGAATTAATTTTATAAACTTCAATTGACATAAGATGTTGTGTATATGCTGCTTTTGATATACTCATGGATAGTGTTGATGACTATTCTGCATTTGGGATAAAGGGAAAGCATTAGAGCCTGTAGAGACACATGGGCTGTTTTTTTTACCTTGGCCATATGAACCCAGGTCAAGATAGAGTACTGTAAGAAAGTTCAAATTTGATCCACATTTAGAAAAAAATAAACTTTGGCAATTTTGTCAATAATACTAATGAAAGACATGATTCCTTTATCAGCAATGATATTTCACAATCCTTTTAACGCCAACTATAATAAAGACATTCCAGTACTTCTAAAAATTGATTTAAGTGTCTGAAGAACAAGAAAAAACTATTAACTTTTTTGGGGGGGTGACAGAATTCTCAAAATTGGCAAGATAAATCATCTTGCTCAAAGTCTTGTAATCTCTGTCTTGCTTGTGACAGCAGACAGTAGCAAATATTCATGGAAAGAAAAGGAAACCAGTGTTGAACTCTGATATGACTTCCTGTCTTTTAGGAGTTGGTAATTCAGGAATTTCCTGAGAAGAATTATTTTCAATAGCAAACAGTCAACCTGGTTTCAAAGAATATATTGAAGTCCTCTATGAACTAAGTTGTGCTTTTGGTCTCCACAATGCCCTCTGGGAATGAATTTCACCAGAAATGACCTGATATTTGAAGAAATGTTTTTGTTCACAATCTTCAGTTGTGTGAGGATTGCAGTCTCAAATCCAGGGAAGAAAGGGAAACATTTCCTTCAAAATAGGAAATCAGTTCTGTTTCAATGGCGTTACTATTACTTTGTTGTAGGCACACAGTTTGTGGTGATTGGGAGTGGGGCTGTGGCCGAGCCTCATCCCCAGTGGGTGCAGCTGTGAGCAGCAGGTGAGCAGCACAGACAGCAATGAGCCATGGAGTGCCCAGGGGCTCTGACCAACCACCAAAGGACACACAGATGCAAAACATGTAAGGAGAGGGGTGTAAAAGGTTGGGCTAAAGAGCAAAAAAAGGGTAGATGCTTGTGATCTTCTGAAGTGGAATGATGTCACTCTGTATAAGTAGGTGTTAGACACTTTCAGATTTGGTGTGGTGTTACTCTCTATGGGTGGTGTAAAAGGTTGGGCTAAAGAGCAAAAAAAGGTAGATGTGTGTCACCTTTGGAAGTGGAATGATGTTACTCTGTTTAGTGTGCTAGACGCTTTCAGATGAGGGATGGTGTTACTCTGTATGGGCGAATGCTTAAAGCTTTCTGGACTTGTATGGTGATACTCTCTGTGTCATGGCCCTCTCAACTGTGCAGTATGCTGTGACAATTTGTCACAGACTAATTTGTAAGAGTTTATGCCAAGACGTGGTCTGCTAAAGAAGTATTGGTCTTTAGAGAGGTGAACTTTAGTGCATGGCACTGGCTGTGGAAATAAATTTGGTTTGTAGCATACATAAATGCTTGCAAAAACCAGCACGTTATGTTTCCCTGTGTAAATCTTTCTTCATTTTCTGAGTTGATCATGGGTGTTAAATGGGTTGTATATGTTCCATGATAAGGATATTATTTATGCTAATTTTATCACACTGATGGATAAACTTGAAATAGCACTGTATTTTTGATGACTAGTGGACTAAGTGGTAGTAAGCTACACCAGTGTACTATCAGTAGCTTATCAACCAATTAAATGTAAAAAAAAAAGTGTTTAGTATTCTAATTAATGACTGCAACTGTAAGCAATTCCGAATATGAAGATTACCTTCAAGGCATGCCAAAGCTCATGGGCATCATAAGATGCAGGTGGGTACATCAAGCCAACCATAACTTCTTTAAAGTGATGAGAGAGATTCTCTTTTAGGTCTGTTATCAGATCCTTGAAAAGAAAAAGAATGTGCACAGACAGGATTATCTCTATATGACTATAGAGATACTTTACACTTTACTAAGACACCTTAAAAAATTATTAGTGGTTTTCTCTCCAACTGATTTAGGATGAACTGTCAAAGATGAATTCTGGCTAAAATTAAGTAAAAAAAACACCAAACTTTTAAGTAGTACATGTTTATTCTACCAGTATGAGCAAAATAAGAATAGGTGCACAAGCCAGTAGGCTGCAATGGATTGTTGGCTTTCAGTTCATTAGAAAAGAGAAGAAAATGCAGATGTTTAAGTGCAACTATTACTTAAAGTCTTGGAAAACTGGATATCACAGCACAGTATCTGCAGCTTCCCTTACCCTATTCCCTGTGCGAATCCGAGAGAGGTAAGCACCTTTGGAAGATCAAGCTCATGAAACACAGGTGGAGTTGCTTTTGGATTTTGGTTTTTTTTTTTTTTTTAAGTATTACCATGTGAATAATTTAAGAAAAATCATCTCTATTGCTCCTAGTACATAAAAATACCAGCTTTTTTTGGATAGCTGGGAGGTCATATGCTCCATGCTTTGGATGGCTGGGAGGTTATGTATATTTTACATTCAAACTGAATTCACTGCTTTTGATAGATGCTGGATTAATAACATGGAACCCTCGTTTTCCTCCTCATATTTCTCAGTTCTTTCTTGCCAGATAGCTGAGTAATGGATTAGTGTTTCCTCTCCATTCTCCCCATTCCTAGTAGCATCCTTCAAAACACTGCAAATGCAGAGAGTTTGTTAAGTTACTACTAGTTACTGTTTTTGATTGAGGACACTTGTGCAGGTTTTTTTTTTTTAATATTTTGTGTGCAGCAGTAGACACCTATAAGATCTTCTAGTCTGTCTGAAAGGCATGCCAGAAACAGTTCCCATTTTACAAATGAGTGTGATTCCAGAGCTGTATTTTTTCAGGCCTGTACTTTGATTTTACTATGTTTCAGAATACAATTAGTTTAATAGCTAGAATAGCAATGAAGGAAGACATATGCATATTAAAAATTAAATTTATGATGGAGAAACATACACAGTCTTTGGCGAATGCACTTTGGATTCATTTGACAGCCACTAAATCACACATGGAGTAGAAATTAATTAATTAAGACATTTTACTTCTGATGACATGCCTGTGGGAAAATGGGTTAATAATACAAATGGATACTACTTAAAAATTACTCCTGCAATCAGAACTAAGGGAAGTATTGGAAATGAGAAAAGAAAAATCTAAGTTGTCATTATTTTAAGTTCCTAATCATCTTCGCTGTAAGAAATCCTTGGAGGCTAATTGTAAGAAGGAATCTTAAAACTTCTGTCTCAATCATGCAGCTAGTTCAGGTCTCTTTAATTTTTTAAAATATTTCTCTCCTTCTCATGTCTCAGTTTACATTTGTCTAATGAATGGGCATAGTGGCTACCATATTGAGCAGACTGAAGTAAAGAGGGAAAAGGATTGGGCCAACAGGTTTACCGTAAATTGAACTGATAGGTTAAAACTGCTGTTGTCTTGCTACATCTCTGTCCTGTGATGTTTGCCACTCATAAACTGGGCTTGCCAAATGGTGCATTTGTTCAATGCAATATAGCCAGTGGGACAAATTGCAGCCAGGGAACTGTGATGTGTGCTAAATTATCTTTCAAAGCACAAACTGGAGCAATGCAGTGCAAGATAACCCCACCAAGAATGTGATGTTTCTTAGAAACTGTCAAGAGTATCATGATGAATCTTGCACTGTGAGGTGTACCCAGTGCTTAATGAATTCATTTGAATTAAAATTGTGGGTATATTGGAGTATGCCAGGGAACTGTGATGTGTGCTAAATTATCTTTCAAAGCACAAACTGGAGCAATTCAGTGCAAGATACATCACATTCTTGGTGGGGTTTTCTTAGAAACTGTCAAGAGTATCATGATGAATCTTGCACTGTGAGGTGTACCCAGTGCTTAATGAATTCATTTGAATTAAAATTGTGGGTATATTCCATGATTTTTAGGGTATTCTATGCCCCATTGCTAGAATATGAAAAGTTTTCTTGATTTTCACTTCTATTATTATTCATAGTTTTAGAAACTGAGATTCTTAAAAAGGATATCTGAGGTTTTCTTTGGCTTTTGCTTTCTTCTGGGTCTTTACGTCTGTGTCCACTGCCTTTATAGCACTTCATGTTAACTCATGTGGCTGAAAGAGGTATGAATTTAAAGGTAATATGTGTTTTCATGGGTATTTATTGATTTGTTTATATTTTTATTTTGAAAAGAGCCAGTTATCTTTGTGGTGAGCAAGTCAATAATTGTTCTCTGTGAACACGAAATAATTGCATTCCTGAAGAACATTTGCGAAGGCTTTATTGTGATACTGTGTTATCTCTAGATCATCTTCATGTATCAGAGCAGAAATTAAAGATAAAAACATGACATTAATATTTAAAAAAAATTCCCGTGTTAAAGTGGTAGGTCCAGTTGATACACTGTAGAGAAAAGTTTAGAACAAACCAGCCAACTGCTATAGATGGTGTAGAGAAGGGACTGTCCAGTGGAGGAGATAAATGAGCACTTGGGCAGAATGGGCTTGGGTGCTTCATGTCAGAGGCACCTTTGGGTAGCTTGACACACTTTAGTTTGCTGTAAGTAACATTAAAACTCAGGAGTATTGCATGGCTAAACACTGAACTTGTATAGTTTGTATGTGTGATGGCAACCTAATAAATGCCTCATAATAGAAAAAAACCAGGTTTAGTAATATAGGTCCTGATTTCTATCACTGTCACGGTCTCTGGAAGGTGGATAGCTGTGATTCAGTTATTGTTCTTTTATTGTCTCTATAAAATATTCATTCAAGGCTATGTCTAAAATATCACAATTATTGTGTTTCATTTTTCTTAACAGTCCAAATAAAGTCATTGATCTCCTGGAGATGAGGAACAACACAAAATTATCCTACTACACTGACTAAATCCAGCTCCTTTTCCTCCAGTTCTAGGACAGTAAATGTGTGTTTGACCTTATTCAGGGGTCAGTGGTTTTGAGGTTTTTTTTTTAGTATCAAGTTGGCAAAAGATTGTCTCTAGAAAACTTCTTGGCCACCCAAACATATTCTGCTGGTTAATGAACTGGAGGTGTAAAAGCTCCACATAATGTGAAGGTTTTTGAATGAACCATTTCTAGTTAACCCTAATTAAGGGAGATGGCTCTGTGGTAGCGTTTGTGCAAACTCATTGTTCTCACTCATGCTGATTGATTCAAGGACAAGCAGACACTGGCCTAGAAGGAATTTTCCAGTGAGTCCTTAGTTTTACAGACTTTGGGAAATGAAGAAAACTGTGTCCTAAGTGTTTGTCTGCCTTCTTTCAGGGCAAGGGCATGTCTAATCAACTTTATCAAATAGTATATGGTTTTACACTGTACTTTTCATTACTTTCACATGAATTTTACAAGGGGTGTTACTATTACTTTTGTTCCCATATAGCTGTAGCAACTAAGGAAATTGCAGGCACTGCAACTTTACCCAAGTCAGTTGGTTAACAGTAGATCTGGAAATAGAACTGTTCCTATATAGCTCTAGCAACTAAGGAAATTGCAGGCACTGCAACTTTCCCCAAGTCAGTTGGTTAACAACAGTAGATCTGGAAATAGAATGAGGATATCCATCTCTGTATGTTTAAGAACTTGGATAACAAAAATTCTATTGTTATGTACAGTAAGTATTGATAAAATACAGCTTTTAAAAAATAACTTTGTCTTAAATTTTAAACACCTTTCAAAGATCATAACTGTAACATTAAGCAGCTCAGATGACTATTGTGCTTAATGTACAGATGGGACTATATGGAATGAGGTGTGAGACTGTCAGTGCTTGAGATGTGAACATTAATCATTATGTAAGATAAAAAGCCTATAACTCTTCTGATTGTGTTTTTCTTTGGTTACAATACTATTTTATTATTTATTCCCAAAAACTTGAAAAATGTATTTCAACTCCCCCCCCGCCAAAGCACATAAAGGAAGAAATAAGTCTGTTCAGATATTTTAGGCTGGTCAATAGAGAAGAATGGCCTGTAGAAGAAGGAACTTTTCTTGTCCTTTTCTGACTCTGTGTGGCAGACAACACTTCTGCTGTAGAAATGACAATGTGATGCCATCAGAGGTATCATTAGCTAGCAAGCAAATTTGTGTGCCAGCCTGTTGTGCCAGCCAGCTGTCTGACAGGCTGGTTCCAGTGAGTGACCTGAGAGAAGAGCTGACAGCTGCACAGGAGACAGGAGAGAAAGACATAATAAAAGTACAAAGTGTTGTCGTACCCTGCCATACATGTCTCTGTATGCCTCAGCAATCATGAGCCGCTGGGAGTTGCAACGCTGAGTTAGGATTTCAATCAACACATCCTTTTCACAACCTGAAAAGGAAATGACACAGGCTCTAAATTAACAAACTGGTGTTAATTACTTACATTTGTGATTGCTTGTGTTTTGTTTAGGAACATTAATTTTTTTGAAAAACTGATCAAGATACTAATATCCCACTAATATTTACCAAACACTTAGATTTCTGCGCTTGTGTGTCTTGCACTTGCTGGTATAATACCATCAAAAGGTGAAGCAGTCTGTTATTACCAGATGCATCCTCACCACTCAAAAGCTCAGTGGATTTGAAAGCATCAGTAAAACAGCAGCTTTCAAGGATTCAGAACTAGACCCAGTAGCACGATTTGTGGCGGAGCCTTGGAAGTCATGCTGGTGTGTTCTGTTGTTATTGATTAAATTGTCATGTAAGAATTAGGGATCTGTTTTATGAAGATGATAAATTTGTTAGACCATTTGTTGAAAAACTCAAAGTTATAATTTCAGAGGAACTGTATGAAGTTTTAAAATACAATATTTTACTCCATTTCCAAAGGACATTTTATTGAAGGTTATCTATGATGGTTTGCTTGATAGGTAGAACATACTAGTAAACTTATATAATGAATCTGTATTATTGCTTATGAAAAATATTAGCATATTCAGAAAATTATGTTGGGGTTTTAAAATTGTTTTTGCATCCCAAGGGTTGGGATACTGTACATAACAATTCCTTTTTACTTTTCAGAAAATAGTTATCACTAGGAATCTTTACAGCTTATATAGTCTCTATAGTAAAACCTGAGAAGGATCCAGATATAGGAAATATTACAAAACTTGTGTAGTATCAGTGGGACAGCAGAGATAACTAAACATCCTCATAAGACTGAATGCCATGTGCAGGATTAAGGATCAGTGTCAGTGCCTGTAAGGGATATGGTGACTTTACCTTCTGTGAAGATGAACTTTTTGTCAATTGTCCTTTAAATTACAACTTTGTTCCATGTACTTTGATAGGCAGGTTAAAATTAAGGTTGATGTACTTGTGCTTAGAGATGATAGTCTTCATTTAATACTCTATATTTTCATATATTAACAACATTGAAATATTTAATATTTTAGTGACCTTATCTTAGAAGTACTCTTTGAAGTGTAGGGAGATATTTAAAACTTTTCATCTGTAGCCAATTTGGTCATAAAGACACTTCAGATTTCCGTTGATGAATAATGCTTATTGTGGTTCATTTGACATTAAATCTGAGTCCTCACATTTTCATTAAAGAAATTGAAAACAGCATGCAAGATCTGGTGCTGTACGGTGTTGTGAAAAGCCCAAGGGGTATAAAAGCTCTGATACAGAGAACAGTTTTAAAGTGAGGAAAACATTTCAGATTTACAAAAAAAAACCCCATAGATCAATATTTTTACCCTCAGCAATACCAACAAGGTGCAATAGGAAAATTTTAAGAATCTGAACTGAGAAAAATTCCTTTTGTGAACAAAAGTTTTTTGGAACCAACACTGAAAGCAAAACCAGAAAAAATAATGAATTGTTTAAACTTTCTATTCCATTTGTTTTTATTTGTTATGACTAAGAGACTTAGCAGACCTTGGTAGCACTTAATTGTTTAAGTTACAATTGTTGAAGTTTCACTTCTTAGGCCTCACTCTAGTGGTGCAACACAGAATTCTGTTTTTCTTGTTTTCTCAATGCAGTGTTAGTATGGATTTTAGATTAATCTTGATGAACTCTTAGTTCCTGTAAGTGCAAATGATTTATTTGGACATCATCAGTGTGTCTTATTCTGATTTCTTGAAGAATCTGCAGATAGGTGGCAACAATTTTATAAGTTTAGATTTTGCCTAATGCTTTATGTGAGATTTCTGAAAGAGGAAATTTGTGTTAGAATCAGTCAAGATACTCACTAATTCCCTGTAGAGCTCCTCCTAGCAACTGGGCATCCATTATAGGGTTAAAATTTGGAGCAGGAAGAATTGTTCCTTGTGTCTACAGAAGAAAAAAACAGACTTTAATTGAGGTGTTTATATTTTTAACATGATATAACTTATTCTGCTGCAAACCTATAATCATAACTTTAAATTTTCTTTGTTTCATGTGGAGCAGGATGTGTAGTTTTTAATTTATGAAACAGAACTTGCATAGGAAGACAGACCATATTGGAGGAAATTGCCCCTAGCATGAGTTAGGCCTGAATAGGAAAAAAAATATAAATCACTTTGCCAACCTATTTAAAAAATATTATTTTATTTTTCAAATTTAATCCATGGTATCCCTGACAGTCTTCAATATTTATTCCTCATGGTATTTCTAATTTGAAAGGACTAATGAGAAAATGATGAGATCCATAGGTTGCTTACAAACCTGGTGATTTATTAAAGCAGTGATGTTACTGCCAAGTGAGATAGTTTTGAGATTGCCATGTAGAAGACAATGCAATTTTTCTAGTTGCTTTGTAACTGATTAAATTACTGTCAGCTCATTCTCAGTGATACTTTATTTCATGTATTTTTTCCTATTCTTTCTAAGAAATTTGTGAAGAATAAAAATAACTAAATTTAATAGAATCACAGACTAATACAAGCAGAAGAAAATAACTGTGGTTGGCAGATACTTAGCTCTGTCTTCTGGTTAGTTCACCTGAGAATACTGTCTGTTTTACCTGACATACCAAATATAAAAATTCTTTTATGATGATTCTTGAACTCAGTCAGTGCATCAGATTAAAATAACACCATTAACTTCATATTTACATTTCAAAGAAAAATGGGATATATTTTATAAGTATGAATGGCGTAGTTTTACAAATGCTTCCTAGAATCAGAGCTTACATGACTTATGCTAATTAATTAATTTTCTTGCTTTACATATTCTTGAAAGTCTTTTGTACATTGTGCCTTCACATATGATGACATACACGAAAGTTTTGTGCATGGCCGCTAATCACTCTTGCCTGGCTTGAAATCTAAGCAGAGGAATTAAAAAGCACCAAAGAAAGATTGTGTATTTTAGCTGAGAAGCTAAAAATGTATCATTTTTTGATACATTTGATCACTGCTTTAAACCCACCAAGCAAAGGTGGGAAGGGAGTGGGATAAGGTAGGGTTTGACTACTAATTAACAAAAAAATATGTAATTTGTAACCATGAATGCTATGTCTCTGTTGAAATGCATTGGCTCTGTGAAGGTCTGATGATCAGGCAATGGTCTTCTGTGGGTTACCATTTAGCTCATTACCTTGTGCAAACTAGAATGGAAAAATTCACTTGGTGTGTGAACTGGTGTTTGTGCACCAGGAAGTGAGCCTGCGTTTGGGACAGCAGCACTTCTGTCCTGTGGCAACAAGATGCTACACAGCCAGTGAGAAAGAAAACCTTGCTTCTAAAGTAATGCAAAAATTCAGGAGATTTGCTTTTCTGGGCAAATGATCACTCTAATGCTCTTTGGTGTATCTGGGGAGAAGGGTAGGTGGTATAGTTTATAGTTGTTGAGCAAGACTTACAGTAATCTTCTGTACTGGGACATAAACTTGAACATTGGGGCAGGTGTTTTGTTTTGCAGAGGTTTGTTACAATCTTGTCATACTTTGGAAGCATCTCTGCTTACAATGTTTTTTGCTCGAAATAACTCAAATTGTTGAGGAGATATATCAAAACAATATTATAGTAGGAGGGGTTTTGCTTCGAGAACCTAGGGCCCAAGGTGTAAAATCATGTTTCCTCAAAAATTATACAGGCTTGCCCTGCCTAAATGTGCCTAGGAAATGTCTAGCTAGCAGCAACGTTCATCACTGCACAAACAGAAGGAGCAGAGAAGTAGAGACATTCAGAAATGCCTCTACTGAATGAAACTTCAACAGATTGGATTTTGATCAGGGAACAGGCAACTACATATGACTAGATAGTTCCTTTCTGTTATTTTTGGCTAGAGAACATCTAGCCAAAATCTGCCCTGTTTGAAGCAGGGCATTTTTTAGGCTTGATTGAACACCTGAGTATAGTTACATGTACTGCTCTCTCACTTCACTCATTCCCACTGAAGTCAGCTGTGACAGACCCCTGGAACTGAAGAAAGCTCAGTGGAGCTGAGCAGGAGCAGTGTGCCCATGGAGCTCAGGGAAAAAGGCAGTGCGTGGCTGACCACAGCTGGTGCAAAGAAAACTTATTTTAGCTCAGCATAAAGCAAACTGAGTGTAGCTATCAACATTTGAGAGGGAGGATGAACTTGTGGTATAAATGTTTACATATGACTTCACTAAAAGAGTGTGAATGTCTTCTTGACTTGGCCAGATGAGCATGAGGGAAGTGGAAACCTGTCTAAGCCCAATGCAGAGCACAAATACTGAAGAGGTAGCAAAATAATCTGCAAATAATTTAAGTCAGTTTGAGCTGACTTAAACCCATAAATTCCTTCTCTGTGATGGCCAGCAATGCAGCAGAGAGCATGTCATAAAAGGCAGTAATGCAGATCTCATCTGTATTATGTCTGTATGTTTTCAGTACACAAGTTTTCCTCTGCTACGAAAACTTGTGTAAAATCACATAAAAGGCAGTAATGCAGATCTCATCTGTATTATGTCTGTATGTTTTCGGTACATTTTGTATTACTCTGCTAGGAAAACTTGTGTAAAATCGTTTAACTTGATATTATTCATTACAGCCTCTATGGGTGAAATATCTGAAAGAACCTAGTGAGAGTACTGGACTCTGACATCAGGATGACCAGTTTTGAGTCTATGGCCACTTATGTTTTACTTCTGCATCTTTTGCTTCCCTAAGCTCTGGAAAGCATAGGAAAATTACCAGTATGATCTCATGATTTTTCTTCTGTGTGCCTCAAGATGGTTCACTACAGGCATGAGCAGAAATTGCTCTTCATGGCAAAGTAAAATGTACAGAAGTGAAAATTGCATTGTGGTTGTCTTGGTGATGTCAGAAGAAGTTTATGTTCACTGAATATAATTTCTCTAAATACAATGTTCTCCATCCTATCCGCACTAGTTAAACAAATTGTGACAAAGTGACAGAAATCTTTTTGTAAGTGTGGAAGAGCAGGGACATTTTTGCACTGTTTAATGTTCTTATTGTGACAGATTTTTCCTAATTTCACAGATAGCATCAGTGAAAGTATTTTTGATTTCAGGGAGCTTTTGGTTCCTACCGTTAATGAGCAAAGGACAGGTAGGTGGCCTACCAACTCGCTATTCAATCTAATAATTCTATAATTTTTTTCAAATAAAGAAATTAACAGGAATTTCTCCAATAAAAATTTCAAAATAAGTCAACATTATCAAACACCCATTAGTCTCAGTAGTGTGGGATTGAGTGAAAAAGGAACTTGTGTTATGCTCTGAGTGTCAACTTGTTCTGTGAACACTGCAGATAAAAACAGTTGGGTTTTTTTTTGCTGAATTTTTTGTCTCAGTTTCACTATGTACTTGCAGTTCATTTCCTCTCCTTGTTCCTCTAGGAACAAGCCTATGGGGTCCTTTCTGAGACAACCACTTGCTAAGTAAATATGGCTCAGTCCCATGACTGAATCCAAAGTCTGGATGTATTATTTGGCTAATGCTAGGCCAATGGAATAAATGACTATTGAGTTCCAACTGCTTTATTTTTAACTGGTAATAGAATTTAGTTCCCTCACTGTCACTGAACAGTGTTTCCACAAAACTTCAGAAGAGATTGCATTCCTCTACCAATATGATTAAAATTCATTATAAAGTTCAAAGTTAGAGCTAGGAACAGGTGGATTGACGAATATACACAAATAGAGCCAAATTTTCTGAGGAAGGGGGAAATGTCTATAGTTACTGAAAAGATGTAAAGAATTGTACATTTTAATTTTGATATCTGGATTGTAGCATCCCTCATAACATAATCATTTTGCTGGAGCTCTCATTGCAAGATTAATATTCAGCGTGACAGACTTTTCTGCATTATAAAGCATGTCTTCAAAAAGCATCAGAGAAAAGGAATTTCCAAGAGCAATTTAGCCTTTTTGTGGGTTAGTTTAGACAAACTGCTGTATGTGAACATAGAAGAATGATTTTCATGCTGTCTTTCCTCTGCAGCATCCTAGTGAAGGGGATATCTGTTTTTCAGAAGGAAAAAAAAAAATTTTGCTTTTTTTCTCAGAAAGTGTCAAAGTATAAGCAAGTAAATCTCCAAAGGTGATTCAGTAATTTTTTACATTAAGATATTTAATCATCTTTCTGATCTCAGGATACGCTCATGTTGAAAACCACAGATCTGTCTCTACACAGGTGGCCTGGGTAGGCACTCTATAAGTATTTCTGGTTTTGTACATGTTCTTTTAACTCTCCTGTAAGAAACTTATTACAAATTAAGCTGAGCAGACAGAACAGGTTTGTGTAGTGTTGGTGGAATGAATCAAAACAATGAAAAAGATTGGAAAGGGTCTGAAAAATTTATAATGGTTCTGGAAAATGATACTTGGAATTTACCTTCCTTCTTTGCAAAAGCAAGAATGGTCAGTAAAAGCTGTTACTGAGTCATAAGCAGTTCAACAAAAGTATCAGTAAAAGGTGAGGCTGCTTTTATCAAATTATGATGTGCAAACTTGAGGCAATTCAGTCTTGTGATGGAAAATAATTCTGAAGTATAATCAACCTTCTAATAATATTTGTTCAGTAAGTCATTCTGCTGATAACAAACAAAGTCAGACTCCCTTGTCTGAATATTTCCCATTTTCCCATAGGGAGTGTCTACTAAAATAAAAGGTTTTCTTTATTAGCTAACCACATGCTATGAGCTAGCTATACTTTTGCAAAGATATCATTTGAGTGCATCTTTATTAAATAAAAATTTAATGAGTATTTTGTTTTGTTGTGAGTTTATTGTATGTGTTTAATTTAATTTCAATAATATATGATACAGTAGTGGAAGGGATACTTCTAAACATAGAAAACTTCATTCTCCAAAACCTTCCATCTCTCTCTGTGTATGTATTTCAGAGAGGTCACAGATGTAATCTTGTCTAATTTCTGGTAGTTTTACCTGTGGCATTTATTATAGGGTATTTTTTTTATTGTAGTATTATTCGTATGGAATCTCTGATAAGGATGATGCCTTGAATTTCTGAATCTGGCAGGGCTGTTGCTGTTAACAGTTTGTACATCTCATTCTTGATCTTGAAGAACTCCATCCTATCTGATTGTTCACAGATAATGGATGCAATTACTGATATGGGTAGCATAAAATATAAAGAAGATCATCTTAAAGAAAAAAGCACATTTTGAAAACAATACTTGATTTTTTTTTTAATTTTATTTTTCTTATACTTCTGATTTAATAGTATATTAATGTTCTGGAATTTCTTGAAAAATGTCCCTAAGTCCAAAGTGCACTTCTAGGACTTTTTTGCAATCTAGAATAGTGTTTAAGAGGAGTAGAGAAGAAATTAATGCTATGGTTTCACCACTCAGTCATGTGTAAGGCCTGTTTTATTGATTGAGGCTTGCTAGAGATTTTTCTGCTATTTTGTTGTCTCTTCAAAGAAAACTGCCAGTGCTCCAAAACCAAATTGCTCTTGAAATACCAGCAGCATTTGGGAGAGAATGTTTACATGCAGCTCTGCCTTACACGTCCCCATTTTGTCTGGATGCCTCAGAAGGGAAGTCTCTTCCTAGGATCCAGTGATCTAGTTCATAAAAATACCTAATTTCTCTCCCTTTCCATTCCATAACATGTGGAAATTGGAATAAACAGTAAAAATTCACCTAATCTGGGAATCCATCCCAATTCTTTTCAGAGAAAGCCTGGAGTCAGATTTCCTGTCTTTCCTGGGACTTATATGCTCCCCATTTGTTTACAGTTGCTTCTCTGCTCTCTTGTCTCTGTGATTATGAAAAAACAAAGGTTTATCAGTGTGCCTTTTATGTTTAGAAGAAGAAGGAATAAAGAGTTTGCATTAAAACCATTTATTCTGGTGTATTTTGATGTAATTCAGTGTATCAAATTAGTAACTTCTGTCCCCTCTGCTCAAGTAGTTCATTAGGCTAATATGTAATAGTTACATTATATTAAGCCTCATACCATTGCAAACATCTGCCAGTTAAAAATTGTCTCATCTATTAGATTTTCTTTATAATGCTATCAAAATACTGCATTATTGCAAATATAATAATTACCAATTGTAATGAATTTAAATAATTTCCTCTGTAAGTTATTTTATAAAGTACTACTATTAATATCAGGACAACACATTATATGCAGATACAGTGTCATTATTTAAACATAATTCGTTGCAATAAATCAGTAGAAGAAAAGAAACTGTGTTCCTTGTCTTCTACAACAAAAACAAATCTACTACCTTTTTAAGATATAGCATTCTTTCTGTCTTCCTTAAATTATCATTAACAGATTACAAAATCACTGTAACTAAAAGAGGAAAAAAAAGAAACTAAGAAGAAAATATCTTTTCATTTCTTAACTGTCTAGTAAAGGATGCAAGATCCCAAACTGCAGAAAACCAAACATATTACTAATCATGATTCAATAGCAATCACTTTAGGAAAGCAAATATGTGTGATATAATTTCATCAGAAGAAATACTTTACTGGAAAGATTGGAATAATTAGTCAATTATACTTAATATTAAAATTAGAAAGGGAAAAGTATTTATCCTTTAGAAGATTCCATATTGATTTGTAAGTTTGTTGGGAGTGTACATGTAAAAAACCTTTGAAAGGAATGAATCATTATTCATACCAATAATAATTGAAAGAAAATCCTTAGAGAACATGATGATCAGTATGCCAGGTACAGAGAGAAATTTCATATTTTGTTGTTAAGATATAGTAACTCCAGCAGTTTCCAGAATGGAGATTTAAAATTTCATTAAAACATTTTTTTCCTCAAAGAGCACTAGTGAAGCCATTTAAAATATTGTGCAGCTTTTTGATGGGGAAAAAGTCACTGATAACTGTTCTTGTGTTGTGGCTCTTGTAGAGGTGGCATTTTTTTACTATAAAATATTTTTCACGCTATGAACAAAACAAATTTTTATAAATGATAAAGCTATTTAGTTACTTTATGCAGTTATGATGGTCTTGTCAAATTATAACCCCCTCAAAATAGTGCCAGAAATAGGTATCTTCTGAAAAATTCCCATTTTTATCTTTAATACGGTTGGGTGATAGTATGTAATTTAGCTTCTTTTTAGCAGCTTAGTGCAAGCATGGAAAATCGACCTTAAAGGCCCTCACAAGGAGGCTTGCATTGCTTTTTCTTGAAAGGTCTATAACTATGAGACAGGAACTGATAATTCTTTTTATTTGAGTCTTTGTTATATAGATATAGACTTTAGATATATAAATATATATATATATAAGTAACACCAGGATTAGACCCAAATCACAGATAAATTATCTTCACCTAAGATTAATTTCTACCAGTGAAGGGAAATGGATAGCAATGATGGTAACTCAAGAGGAATGAAAAGTTTTGGAAGGTTTCAGAGAACAAATAATTATACTCACATAATCTCCACAATACATTTTGCTGCAAGTCTTCAAGTTCTGTTGAGATGGAATAGTAGCTTCCCTAGACTAAAAGCAAGTGTAAATACAATTGTTTCAGTTAAATCTTGTTCTATTTTAGAGATTTGTGAGAAGCCGTCCAATCAAACTGATATGAAGTACATTAGGCTCCAAAGTAATGAAGCAGAACCTTGGTACCTTGTGTCCTTGGGCTTTATAGATATACTGTGTGCTTAGTCATTAACCATGCATTGAATAAGTGTGATTATAATGTAAGTAAACAGAGTCATTAGCCCAACACCCTCTGTTCTGCTGTGTTGATTTTAGGAATCAGAACTCAGCTAGTCACAGGATGAAACACTCACCTACCAAAAGTGCTTGTGTTAATCATTTGCTTTTCAGATTGGATCTGGTCTAGTTCCTTTTTTTCATCCTTCTGCTGAAATTGCTCAGCTCATCACTTGCTCTAGTATCTATTTCTAGCTGGCATGTACAGGAAGATGCTTTATAGCCCTTATATGTCACCCAGGGTAATCAGGTAGCCTTAGTGGAACTCTGTAAATGAGGATCTTTTCATGCAAGTTACAACTTGCAAAATCCTGCAAAGAACTGATCAAAAATCCTGTACTGTTGCTCTCTCCAAGGACTTATACAGAATCCTAACTATCCAACTGACAGTAAACTCATTTTTCATAGCTAATACCATGTTTTTCTGCTTATGATAACTATTATTGTAATAAACCATTGATAAAACATGAACTTTTCTCTCTCACACACAAAAAGGTATATAAAATAGAGGAACATAAAAATAGAGGTGCAGAATCAGCCTGTATATCCTCTCCTGCAACTTGAATGGAAGACATAGGCTACTGTTATCCTGATTGAGTCCATTTTAGAGGGGTAATGTTTTCCGGTAGTTGTACAGTGACAGTAGCTCAGAATTAAATCATCCCAAATTTTCTTAGTTTTCTTAATGCGTCCATCACAGACTTTGGAGCACTTCTTAAAACATGCATGGAGTTTTTTTCCTTATAATTTAGAAAGACTTTGGAAATAATAAAAAAATTACTTACTTTTTTTTATGCAGCAGTAGTGATTTGAAAAATTTTTTTTTTTTTTTTTTTTTTTTTTTTTTTTTTTTTATTTTAGCTGTAATACCTTAGCAGCTCTTCTAATTATTTAAAGCTATATCTGGACTTGTGTAAATGCAGCAGTAGTGATTTAGGTGTAAGCTTTTTCATGTCAGCCCATGTTATGGGTAAAGGCTACAGGTGCATCCTTAGAAACTGTTGGAAGATTTTCACAAAGAACCATGCAAAGCATGGGCTTCACAGTGGCATGCCTTTACTTTCTCTTTTTTCATTGGGGCTGTGGTAGGTATTTTACTTTATTGTAATTGTACCAAGTACATACTTTATCTCTGTATCTTGAGTGCTCTTTGAGGGTGGCTGGGGAATGCAGTTCCACTGTAAGAAAAATTATCCATAAAGAATCTGGTCTGGCTGGTTAGAGGTGCTGAAGATGGTACTTAGAGTAGGATTCAGTCTCCTGATGATACATATTTTAAAGCAGTGATAAGAATGAAAGAATATATTAAGCCTATCTTTTTTACAGACTCTTAATTTGGTGTCTTTTTTTTTGCTGTGATTAAAATGTAATGCAATTAATCTTCAGTACAACAGAAAACAAATTGCATTTACAGGATTATATTTTGGTCTACATGTGCCGAAATCTTTAAGAACAATAGGGTGTAAATAAATAGTCAAAGCCTTTTGTTCTATGAAATATTCATACCTGGCATATAATGTGATGAAAGCACTTAATTGTTTACTGAACTAGATTCTGTTTTTAATGAACCTTTCAGTGAAAAGCTGTGAGAGAGTCTAGAGAAAACAAGAGAAAGGTTTCAACCTCCTTATCCCTTTGAATGTCCTTTGGCTGTGCTTTCCTGCCGTCTCTCCCCCAGGGTGAAAGGCAGGGCTTACCAACAAGGAAATTAATATGTTTGTCCATGTAATGCTCAGCAAAATGGATCCAGTGTTTAGAGTGAGCTGCACCTTCACATTTTCTTCAAGATTCAGTAGGTCAGAGGTGTGAGTTATTTCTAGGGGAGGAGCTTATCCTGTTTTAGGGGAAAGCCAAAGAAGCTGTGTTCCCACGGGTTTTGGCAATCTCACTTTTGGGAAAAAAAAGGAAAAAAAAAAGACTACTTGGAAATACTGCAGAAGAGAGTAGCGATAATTACTTCTGTTGAAAGATAGGAAATACTTGGCTTTTTAAACTAAAGAACAATGCAGGAAACCTTAAAAGTTGGAAAAAATAGAAGATCTTGCAAGGGGAAGGGAAAAAAAGTCTTAAGTTCTCAATGAACTGGACAGATTTAAGACCTATTTTTCTGTTTCACCTCTATTCAATCTTTGCAATTCTCTCACAGTTACCAGGTGAGATTTTCATTACGGTTCTGTGTACTTGCTTGCTTTCCTTTCTCTTTTTGATCTTTCTATTCTTAGTTAATTTTGTGCTTATTTTGTTACATGTTCTTATTTTTTGGACAGTCTTAATTATTTTCTGTTGAAGCAAGCAGGGGCTGGTTCCTCTTCTTCAGGTCCCTACAACCAATGGAATTTCTCACGTGTGCCAAAGGTTCTTCCTCAAACTTCCCCTGTCCTGGTCATTGATATGCTTAGGCTTAAACATTGCAATGGACCTATTTCCATGTTATTTTAGTGGAAACCTTGAGTAAAAAGAATTAAATATAATCAATTTTTTAGGGATCCATCTAAAAATGATTATGTATTTAAAGTGAGAAGTAAATATTGTTAAATATTAAATTATTCTATTTGTTTTCCCTGAAAATTAGCTTCCAGTGTATCAGTTTGATATAAATTAAAATGCACATTATTCGTATAATGACCTTCAGGTATTCCTCCGGAGTAGTCCAGTAATTGAATTATTTGTTCAGTATTACTGCAGCTGCAAGCAGGAAAATATGGGACTACATGCTGCTGAGCATTTAGTTTCTGTGGTAGAAAGAGAATCTGGATATAATTGGAGCTGGTGTAATTTCTAGCTCTCACCAGAGCACAAAATTATGAGCATGGTACAGAGGGCAAGAACAAGGGGTGGGAAGGTAATCTCTAGCTCTAGTGTAGTAGTAACAGCCTTGGGCATTTGAAAAATGTCTCTGGGAGCTTGTGTAGAATGTGTGGAGCATGTTATTCACCATGATTAAATGCATGTTTGATGTCAAATACCTTAATGCGGTGAATCCCTGTAGGACCTATGACTCAAAATTTACCTTTTGCAACTCCCAAGTCTTTATTTATATTACTGAAAGAACTTGGACGCTTATCTACCTGCCAATTCCCCTTAGGGTTGCAAGGGCCAAGTTCTGCCTCCTTCCTGAAAAGAGCTCTGAGCATGATATGTGTACACAGGAGGCACTTTGAGATACTGTGAGGGCTGTGGTGCTGCCATGCTGTGCCTTGGGAAGGTGACTGCCAGTTCCCATTTGGGATATAGCCTTCAGCAGAAGGCTGACCACATGAGGTGATGCAGACTATTGAAGGAAAAAGGGTTTGAACAAGACAGTGAGTAATGAGAGGTAGTAGTGGGTGTAGCTTTATAGGAACAGCAGAAGCACAATGACTGTGGCTGTAAAATTCTGGTTTCACCGTCATGTCAATATAATTTAGAATTGTGGTTTCTGGGTTTATTTGGTTTATGTGGTTTTCATGAGTGGAAAAAACTAAAAAAAACTTGGGCCTACAGACTCCTTCTTAGTCCTGAATGTCACTGAATGGGATACCGGGGAATTATGCTAAGCTTGCATTGATATTTTTGACTTTCTGGAATTAAATATATTCACCATAAAAGGGAAATACTTGTATACCTAAGACAGATTTCTGCTGACATAGAAAAACTGGCCGTAGTCCAGCACTATATGAGCTATTTCTTTAGCAACTTTTTTTAATGAAGGTTAGCTGCTCTTAGGTTGGTTGAGCAGTAGAGTTAAGTTTTTATTTGGGAGAGAATTATTTTTACCTGACACAAATGTAAAATGGTATACAGAATATATCTATGATGTGTTCAGGAAGTTACATAGTGAGTGAGTGGAAATGATTCTTCCTAGGAATTTTTTCTTATGCTTAAGCAGAATTGTTCTGAATACTATTTAAAACAGTCTCTTGGATGTTTATCATAGTGTTCAAAAATGCCCTGTTTTATTAAATTTACAGAATTAACTTTTGCTAGAGAACCATAGCAGAACAAAAAGGCGTTCCTTTGAGAAAAGATACACAAAAAGGAAAAAATAATAAGAAAATTCAATAAACTGCATAATTATCCCAGCAGCAAGGTTTCTAAAGCTGCTGCCTGAAAAAAATATTACTGCAAAATGAAAGTGAAACAGATGCCAGATTTCTTCAATACTAATTTGTGTAAATGGCAGCAGTGTTTCATAGCATTCTTAATACAATGGTGTTCCAGTTTAGATTTAATATTGTTTTATGAAAATACAAGGATGAACTTTTGGTTCTGGTTAACAGAGTATTTTATTACTTGCTTTATTAATTTCATGCCATATGAATTGTAGACATGTTACTTATGCAATAACAGTTTCAAAATAAATCAGATTATTAAACATATATAAATTACTGAAAGCACTTGAAGGATCTGATGATTTTATGAAGAGCATTTAAGAATTACTTTAGATATACAATGAAATGCTCACTATGTTCCCATAGCATATTACTTTTTAAATGAAATGTATACAAATAAAATATAAATATTATACATTTGGGAAATTTGTTAAGCCCATATATGTTTGGCAGGTGTTCCTCTAACTTTCTATATTAATCCTGATTTAAATGTTGTTAAGTTTTATCACATGTTGGGAGTTATGCCAAAATCAGGCTATACAATGAATTAGTGATTATAGACCACTGATTTACTGGGACACTTGTAGAAATCATAATGAATGTATGATTTCTTGTATGCTGTCCAATTAAAGCATGTTTCCATTATGCAAGCACTTGATCTTGCAGATGATGGAACATTACTGCATGTTTTTACTGACAGTGGATTTTGCTCCTCTCCTATGCAGGCTTAGGAAGAAGCAAAGTGGCTGTGGGTGTGTATGTAGGGCAGCTATGATTTAGCT